GTGTTGAAACATCGAAAACTATTCGTTAACTACAAAATGTCATGCCTATTCTAATTTTTATAGTCTGCCATTCGAGTGAACATTTCAATGTTCGAAGGGGATCATTTCTGTACATTTTCACTGAATTTGGTAATTTCGATAACAGCACTTGGATCGAGATTGTCATGTTTAAAAATCGATTTGTATATCCAAACTCTAGACGTGTATGTGCTTTTTTCAAACAAATCGGCAGAAGTTCAGAAAATGACATATTCTCTCCACAGTAAGTCAAAAGTCGAACCCACCCTTGTTTCTAAGGTAAAACGCTATACAAATATGAAACAGACTATAGCTTAAAAACTAGTTAATCAATAATTCATTTGTCACCAAATAATACGGTTTCACATCAAATATCAAGTAAAATTACTGTTTATGACACTTTTTGAGCACTATGATAAAGAAATGTCGACGCTATATAGATTGAAATAAACAATTAATTTCCCCATAGGCGACAATGATAGCCTTTTTCGAGATACAGACTTTAGAAAGCTGATTATTTTAACGAAACCTTGCTAGAATTTAAGAAAAGTTATTAGGACAGTATTTTTTGGTCCAAAAAATATAGGTTCGCGTTGCTTTTCTTAGCGTAATTTGTACTTATCTCCCATGCCTATCAATTTTGCACTTAAAAATACGTGTCTCATCCTAGCGTTTAAAAGACATCTCAGTTCCGTTAGGGCTAAGGAAAATAATTTATTTGGCCTTTGGTATAATGCAGAATGCACGAAGTCTCTAATTACAAAAAATAACGGGCGCACATATCAACCAATCAGGATTAGCTATACTCTTAATTCTGAATACCATGTTATGCTCATAAAATGGCTGCCCCCATAAAATCTAATGGTGTATTGTAACCTATACGCTATTTAATACTTTCTAGAATCATGCAATTCATAGTTCGTTAGATGCATAAATATATATGCCACACAAAAATCATCTTCAAAACGTTCTGGCATTACTCTCTGAATTTTCACAATTTTTTATCAGAGGTAACCCCAGTCAAAAAATGTGAAAAAAAAAATTCTGATTTTTTTAGTAAATGCGGTACTGCTAAAAAGGGCCTGAAGATAATGTCCACTTTCTCCAATGATTCTTTATATGTCATCAAGTACTGATTATATTGATACCAAAACCGATCCAATATGTAACTACTACGGTGAATTTTGAACAACAGTTTTAAATGAAACCATTTTCGTATAAAAGTACATTTTTGAAAAAGACTATAGCATTTCAAAATGTGAAAAATGTGTAAATATTTGTGTTGAAACATCGAAAACTATTCGTTAACTACAAAATGTCATGCCTATTCTAATTTTTATAGTCTGCCATTCGAGTGAACATTTCAATGTTCGAAGGGGATCATTTCTGTACATTTTCACTGAATTTGGTAATTTCGATAACAGCACTTGGATCGAGATTGTCATGTTTAAAAATCGATTTGTATATCCAAACTCTAGACGTGTATGTGCTTTTTTCAAACAAATCGGCAGAAGTTCAGAAAATGACATATTCTCTCCACAGTAAGTCAAAAGTCGAACCCACCCTTGTTTCTAAGGTAAAACGCTATACAAATATGAAACAGACTATAGCTTAAAAACTAGTTAATCAATAATTCATTTGTCACCAAATAATACGGTTTCACATCAAATATCAAGTAAAATTACTGTTTATGACACTTTTTGAGCACTATGATAAAGAAATGTCGACGCTATATAGATTGAAATAAACAATTAATTTCCCCATAGGCGACAATGATAGCCTTTTTCGAGATACAGACTTTAGAAAGCTGATTATTTTAACGAAACCTTGCTAGAATTTAAGAAAAGTTATTAGGACAGTATTTTTTGGTCCAAAAAATATAGGTTCGCGTTGCTTTTCTTAGCGTAATTTGTACTTATCTCCCATGCCTATCAATTTTGCACTTAAAAATACGTGTCTCATCCTAGCGTTTAAAAGACATCTCAGTTCCGTTAGGGCTAAGGAAAATAATTTATTTGGCCTTTGGTATAATGCAGAATGCACGAAGTCTCTAATTACAAAAAATAACGGGCGCACATATCAACCAATCAGGATTAGCTATACTCTTAATTCTGAATACCATGTTATGCTCATAAAATGGCTGCCCCCATAAAATCTAATGGTGTATTGTAACCTATACGCTATTTAATACTTTCTAGAATCATGCAATTCATAGTTCGTTAGATGCATAAATATATATGCCACACAAAAATCATCTTCAAAACGTTCTGGCATTACTCTCTGAATTTTCACAATTTTTTATCAGAGGTAACCCCAGTCAAAAAATGTGAAAAAAAAAATTCTGATTTTTTTAGTAAATGCGGTACTGCTAAAAAGGGCCTGAAGATAATGTCCACTTTCTCCAATGATTCTTTATATGTCATCAAGTACTGATTATATTGATACCAAAACCGATCCAATATGTAACTACTACGGTGAATTTTGAACAACAGTTTTAAATGAAACCATTTTCGTATAAAAGTACATTTTTGAAAAAGACTATAGCATTTCAAAATGTGAAAAATGTGTAAATATTTGTGTTGAAACATCGAAAACTATTCGTTAACTACAAAATGTCATGCCTATTCTAATTTTTATAGTCTGCCATTCGAGTGAACATTTCAATGTTCGAAGGGGATCATTTCTGTACATTTTCACTGAATTTGGTAATTTCGATAACAGCACTTGGATCGAGATTGTCATGTTTAAAAATCGATTTGTATATCCAAACTCTAGACGTGTATGTGCTTTTTTCAAACAAATCGGCAGAAGTTCAGAAAATGACATATTCTCTCCACAGTAAGTCAAAAGTCGAACCCACCCTTGTTTCTAAGGTAAAACGCTATACAAATATGAAACAGACTATAGCTTAAAAACTAGTTAATCAATAATTCATTTGTCACCAAATAATACGGTTTCACATCAAATATCAAGTAAAATTACTGTTTATGACACTTTTTGAGCACTATGATAAAGAAATGTCGACGCTATATAGATTGAAATAAACAATTAATTTCCCCATAGGCGACAATGATAGCCTTTTTCGAGATACAGACTTTAGAAAGCTGATTATTTTAACGAAACCTTGCTAGAATTTAAGAAAAGTTATTAGGACAGTATTTTTTGGTCCAAAAAATATAGGTTCGCGTTGCTTTTCTTAGCGTAATTTGTACTTATCTCCCATGCCTATCAATTTTGCACTTAAAAATACGTGTCTCATCCTAGCGTTTAAAAGACATCTCAGTTCCGTTAGGGCTAAGGAAAATAATTTATTTGGCCTTTGGTATAATGCAGAATGCACGAAGTCTCTAATTACAAAAAATAACGGGCGCACATATCAACCAATCAGGATTAGCTATACTCTTAATTCTGAATACCATGTTATGCTCATAAAATGGCTGCCCCCATAAAATCTAATGGTGTATTGTAACCTATAAGGTCCTGGTAAAACAAAATGTATAGAATCAGTTTGCCAAAAATATACCACTTATCATGCTTATTTATAATAACTTGTGAGTATCCGGCAAATGAAAAGATGAAGATATAGTTGTGTATAAGATAGTTGTTGCAAAGTTTTTACATTGTAATCAACTGATCAATATAAACTAAATCAACTAACAAAAGGTAATCACATTCAATGAACATGATGAGTTGGGATTCAGTTTGTCTAATTAATCTTGTAAAGGCATACATTAACTATAGTGAACTAGTAGTAACAGAAATATGTTAAAAACAAACAAGCTCATACAAAAGCAGCAAAGGAACTTAAATCAAAGGAGATGTCATAATTTAAACTTTGAGTAGCTGAAGAAGAACATAATGTTACCCGACCTAAATATGTATATGTGTCCTAAAACATTGTAAAATGTGGGCTAAAAACTTACAGAATTTTCAGTCTTTCAAACTGGTGGGGATTGTCTTGGTTGGACTTGTCATTGATCCAGATTGTCCTGTTACTCTAAAATTGACTATATTCCCTAGATAAATGTCAATCTTACCAGCCTAAAGGAATGTAAGCAGATCTTGGCAATCGGCCAGTTTGCTTGGTAATGCTGACAATCTCTGACCTCATTTGTTTAGGTAATCATCGGGTTACACATCACAGAATTTTGTCAGCATGATGTTTAAACAATTATGTTAAAAATAACACCAAATATTTTATAGTTTAATGTCAAACAGGTCAGGAATAACCACCAATTGGTGGACTATACCTCAATTGACGTATAATCCACCAATTGACATATATTGGTATAGACCAATTGACGTATAATGCAAGTTTTTTGTAATAAAACGCTAGTCTGGGATAGGAGCATCATTTTGCAACTTGCAACCTATTTTATAACCATTATTGAATCCTCCTAAAGTTTCAGTTTTGTCAAAGCCTGCTGCATCACTTGAGAATGCATGTGTATAACAATTCTTTTGTTAAAACATCTGTACTATTGACCATGATTGACTTTTAATAATGAAAGTCAAGTATTATCAAAGAGCTCCATTCACCTTGTGAGTTGTACTCATAATCACATGACTGAAGACAGTATTGATGTCCATTGACCGGTGATTAGTGGAAAATTTACCAATCAAGAATTGACAAGATAACAATAGAAGAAACTGCAAATACAATTATTGATTAAATGCAATATGTTATGTCACTATACTTAACTAGGAATGTTTGACATGTTTTCATACCATAATATGGTTATAAGAAAACAATGCTCCATTTTGGTTGTATAGTTTGCTTTGAAATACAAAGAATTATACTTCAATTGGTCTATACCATTATATGTCAATTGGTGGATTATACGTCAATTGAGGTATAATCCACCAATTGGTGGTTATTCCTGACCTGTCAAAGACACTGATGACGTTTCATATCTTTTATACTAATTCTACGCACATGTTTCCTTTATAACTAATTCTTTGCCCTATATACTCTTATATACCTGATTTTGAGTTTGTCTGATATTTGTCTGGATTACCAAATTACGTTGAAACAGCAACTGACAGATTGTTTACAGCACAGATCTATCACACGTGTGTCAAAATAAATTTTTCCTATTAACTATTTATTGGACAAACCTGGTAGGTGTGTCATAAGGTAAAACCTATAAAGACCTTGACCTTATTTTTGCGATTTAGAAAAAAATTATTTTGGTACAAATTGGATCAAATTGGGGAGAAATGATTAATATATTATAGTCTGGAGGAAAAAAGTGCTTTTAGTTTAATATTTGACATCTAAGGAATGTTTGAAGAAACAAGTCAATCCCCACAACCCTCTAAAACGTATGGAATATTCCTACTGGTATTAAAGCACAATTCTAACTCGTTGGTCTGAGTGAATTAAGAGCTTGAAAGATGCTGAAAGATGAAGATGTTGCTAATGTATTTGTGTTTGTTTCTTGTTATAGGTAAAACACGATAACATTATCTTATATATACGTGAATGTAAGACTCATCATATTACAAACAAATCAATTAATTGAACTATAGTCTTGCGATCAAGAAAATACACAAATTTAATTATGGCCTTTTTTTCCCTTAGGGGACCCAGTCTCGATATCATATGGGGCCACAGGTGCCTAATGAGATCTATATGAAGTGTGTATGCTGTTCGGTGTGAGCCAATGCTCCCTGTTGAAGGCCGTACCTTGACCTATATTGGTTTACTTTTATAAATTGTAACTTGGATGGAGAGCAGCATTAATCATGTTAATACAACGTAAATATTCAGCAAAATTTTCAACAAACTTTCACATACTTTATTTTAAATAATTTACATTATACAACAAGAAAACAAAATGAAAATCAGGGCGAACGGACCCAGGACTAACAGCTATAAGGGTGAATAGGTACATGTTCTCAGGCTAACAGACCCGGATCAAACTATCACTAACACTAGCTAGAACCCTTCATCATATATAGCTAAAACCAAAACCTTACATTTATGTAAACAGAACCCTAACATTAAAGTACTGTGGTGTTTAGAATTGGCTGGAAAATAGAACAATTTTCTAGTTCTTTTTTATAAATAAATTAAGATGGTTGAGACCAATCAATGTAATGAAGTCATGAAACAATAGTCTCTTACTGTGACATATTAGAAGAAGCATTTTGACATCAGAATAAGGAAAATGCACACAGTTGAAAGTCATCTATTTTAATTAATTAATCAGAATAATTGGACAGCGTGCTTTGAACATGTTGAAACATAACTAAATTTGTATTCTTTTCAAACGTTTTTTTTGGGATGTATAAATACACATCCACATTCATTTTTATACGACCGCAAAAAAATTTTGTGGTCGTATATTGGTATGAATTGGCGTCTTCGTCGTCGTCGTCGTCGTCCGGCGTCGTCGTCCGAATACATATTGGTTTTCGCACTCTAACTTTAGTTTAAGTGAATGGATCTTTTTGAAATTTGACCATAAGGTTAAATACCACAAAAGGAAAGTTGGGATTGATTTTGGGGGTTATGGTACCAACAGTTAAGGAATTAGGGGCCAAAAAGGGGCCAAAAATGAGCATTTTCTAGTTTCCAGACAATAACTGTGGAACGGTGTATGGATCTCTCTGAAATTATACTACAAGTTTCCATACCACAAAGGGATGGTTAGGATTTGCTTTGGGGGGTTATGGCTCAAACCGTTTAGGAATTAGGGGCAAAAAAGGGGGAAAAACAAGGTTGTCCTGGTTAATGGACAAATACTTTAGTACAAAACATAATTTAAAGCAGTGTAAGGGAGATAAATCAAATACATCATTGAAATTATCTCCCTTACACTGCTTTTAAATTATGTATAAAGTAATGGTTAATGAACAATAAAGATAATCTAAAACAGTGTAAGGGAGGTAATCCAAATACAACGTTTTGGTTACTTCCCTTACACTGCTTTTAAATTATGTTTAAAGAAATGCATATTTATAAAGGAAGACCAGTAAAAATATCTGCAAATGTTTTCATCTTTTTTTTTTACAAAAAAATCCATATGAAAGATTTGACACTATATTTTTATACGACCGCAAAAAAATTTTGAGGTCGTATATTGGTATGACGTTGGCGTCGGCGTCGTCGTCGTCGTCGTCCGGCGTCGTCGTCCGAATACACAATGGTTTTCGCACTCTAACTTTAGTTCAAGTGAATGGATCTCTATGAAATTTTACCATAAGGTTCAATACCACAATAGGAAGGTGGGGATTGATTTTGGGGGTTATGGTACCAACAGTTAAGGAATTAGGGGCCAAAAAGGGGCCGAAAATAAGCATTTTTGTAACTTCCAGACATAACTTGTGTGTTAGCATATGGATCTCTTTGACATTGTACCACAAGATTCCATATGACAAAGGGTCAATGCTGGGATTGATTTTGGGGTTAATTGCCTCAAAATTTTAGGAATAAGGGGCCAAAAGGGGGCAAAAAACAAGCATTTTTCTAGTTTCATGACAATAACTTGTGTGTAAGTGTATGGATCTTTCTGAAATTTTACTACAAGGTTCCATTTCACAAAGGGAAAGCTGGAATTGAGTGTTGTGGTAATTGCCCAAAACGTTTAGTAATAAGGGGCCTAAAAAGGGGTTTAAAATAAGCATTTTTTAGTTTCTAGACAATAACTTGTGTTCAAGTGTATGGATCTCTCTAAAATTGTATTACAAGGTACCATACTACAAAGGCAAGGCTGTTATTGAGCTTGGTTTGGGGGGAAAGGGGGGTGGGGGTGATGAATCATAAGGGGGGCAGGGGTCAAAAAAGGGGTAATTTTTTTTTTTCCTTTTTTTTTTGTTTAAAATTTACATTTTAAGTTAGTTATTATTTATCACGAAGAGAAAGTAGGAATTGAGTTTTGGGGTTAATTGCTCAAACATTTATGAATAAGGGGCCAAATATTGGTCAAAAATAAGGATTTTTTTAGTTTGCAACAAAAACTTGTGTTCAAGTGTATGGATCTCTGTGAAATTGTATTGCAATGTACCATACCACAAATTGAAGGTTGTGATTGAGGTGGGGGATGATGAATCAAAAGGGGGTTGAAAAAATGTGTGGGAGGTAGGATTTTTTTTTTTCCTTTTTTTTTCTTTAAAATTTTCCATTTAAAGATGGTTGTTTCAGATTTATATATGAAAGAAAATAATAATGATACGGTTATATATCATGAGGAATTGAAATTTAAAATTATGTATATTGGAAATTTAAGTTACATTGGAAAGTAATAATTGGCTTTGGGGGGGGGGGGGGGGGGGGGGGGGGGGGGGGGGGGGGGGTTTGTGGTGGTTATGGCTCTAATGTTTAAGGAATAAGGGGAAAAAAGGTTAAAAAACAAGGGTTTCCATTTTAATAGACAAATAATTGAGTAAAGAACATTATTTAAAAGCAGTGTAAGGTTGGTAATTCAAACTCATTTAAATATCTCATCTACACTGCTTTTAAATTATGTAAATTGGAAATTTGCCAATAACTTTATTGTTAATAAATGCATTGGAAATTTGCCAACAATTTTAGTGTAATAAACTTCATTGGAAATTTGCCAATATAAAATTTTGCTGATGAAGGTTTTTTGTTTACCTTTAGCCTTGACTAGGAAGTCATTTTCTATTTTTATAGCCTTATGATGTAGTTGAATTATTTAATACTTTTATGATGTGTTTAAATGGGGTTTTATCATGTTTGTTTATGGTTGCAAATTTATTGTTTTAGTATAATAAACTCCATTTAAAATTTGCCAATAAAAAAAATTTTTGTTTATTTTTAGCTATGATTATGATGTCATTTTCTATTTTACTTTTATGGTTGCAAAGAAATTTTTATTTTTAGATATTACTGTTAAATGATGCTGATTAAGGTTTTTGCTATGTTTAGCCATGACTATGATGTCATTTTCTATTTTAATATCTGTTATGATGTATTTAAATGGGCTTTTATGGTTACAAAGGAATTTTATTTTTAGATATTACTATAAAATGTTGCTGATGCTGATTAAGGATTTTGTTTATTTTTAGCCATGACTATGATGTCATTTTCTATTTTAATACCTTTATGATGTAATTTCCATTTTTAGATATTACTGTTAAATGATGCTGATTAAGGGTTTTTTGCTATGTTTAGCCATGACTATGATGTCATTTTCTATTTTAATATCTTTATGATGTATTTAAATGGGCTTTTATGGTTACAAAGGAATTTTATTTTTAGATATTACTTTAAATGTTGCTGATTAAGGATTTTTGTTTATTTTTAGCCATGACTATGATGTCACTTTCTATTTTAATACCTTTATGATGTATTTAAATGGACTCCCATGTATTTAGATTTTTGATTATTTATACATGTTACCAAATTGGTCCACATTGAACAAAAACGGTCCAAATTTCAACTTTATTACATTACATCAAACATTGAATTCTACATATTCTTTGATATATTGAAATTAACAAACAATTAAGTTTATGGATATTCCACCATAATAGGTAAATTAAATTTTTTCCAGTTCTTACACCACATTCATCCTGTGTCAGAAACCTATGCTGTGTCAAATATTTAATGACAATCCAAGGTCATAGCTGTATCAAGCTTGAATTTTGTGTCCATACTTGCCCCAACTGTTCAGGGTTCGACCTCTGCGGTCGTATCAAGCTGTGCCCCAGCGAAGCATTTTATCTATATAGAGATTACTCTATCTATATATTACATTATACATATTTATTAACAGGTTATATATATAATTAACTCCTAACTATCCTTCTGCCTGTCAATACTTTTATTTTGGCATTGCACAAGTCATGTCTTCTTTGACTGTCCATGGCGTTAAAACACTTAATCCCTGGGATGTGTTTAAGTTGATTTTAGTCTCTAATGCATGATTTTTTATTATTTATTGTTTTGGCTTTTAACTAGCTTTCAGTAACTGCGAGTACTCTCAAATCGTACTTTCGTGTTAATTTGACCTGTTGATCATGTTGATACAATTTGTAATGTATTTTTGTTATTTAATGTTTACCTATTTAGTGTTATATCTAGTCTCACTATTTTTAATATATACCACCTTTGATAAGTGTTTAGTATCACGATAAATTTTCACTTTTGTTCTCGTACTAGGAACAACAAAATTATTTATTTTATAAAAATTATTTCCGTACTCCATGTATACCTTACAACAAAATTATTTTTATTTACCTGTGTACATTTTTTTATTTGGCGACATTTTGTCCAAGGTTATGGTTGTCTTTCTGATATTGTTTTACATCTAACCCCCTTGTTTTATTAATTTTGTATTTACATTGTGTCATAGATCAAACTTATTCATTCAGTGTATGTTCACTTGTTTTTGTTTATATATATGTCTTTTGATTGAGTTAAGCCATTTCAATTGATATTTTACAGTGTGTCTTTCTATGTTGTGATGTTACACTATTGTTTCAGGTAGGGTGAAGGTTGGCACCTATTAAAATGTTTAAACCTGCTGCAGTTGTTTGCACCTGTCTTTAAGTTAGGAACCTGATCTGATGTTTAGTGGTTGTCGTTTGTTGATGTGGTTCATAAGTGTTTCTCGTTTCTCGTTTTTTATATAGATTAGACTGTTGGTTTTCCTGTTTGAATGGTTTTACACTAGTCATTTTTGGGGCTCTTTATAGCTTGCTGTTCGGTGTGAGCCAAGGCTTCGTGTTGAAGGCCGTACCTTGACCTATAATGGTTTACTTTTACAAATTGTGACTTGAATGGAGAGTTGTCTCTTTGGCACTCATACTACATCTTCTTATATCTATTTGATTATGTTTTCGATTTCAATCTGTTTTTAATTAATATCCAAATAATGTAGGAATTTAGTAACACTCTTTTCCTGAAATATAAATGTGTGCTTTTCAGTTACATGTATATACAAAGAACATGCAGCTTGTGCATGTCAGTTACATGTATATACAAAGAACATGCAGCTTGTGCATGTCAGTTACATGTATATACAAAGAACATGCAGCGTGTGTATGTCAGTTACATGTATATACAAAGAACATGCAGCTTGTGTATGTCAGTTACATGTATATACAAAGAACATGCAGCTTGTGCATGTCAGTTACATGTATATACAAAGAACATGCAGCTTAAGCTTGTGTATGTCAGTTACATGTAACAGTATATACTGGGTACAAAGAACATGCAGATTACTAGCTTACAGTGTACACCAAAAAGATGTGTATACATGTATAAAATGAATATTTTATGGAAGTTTTAAGCCATGATTTCTTACATATATATACCACTGACATACAGGGAGGTTTTATAAGGTTTCCTTATAAAAATTACATTTATATATATTTTATAGTTTGATTGATAAGCATGATAAGTGAAAATTATAATCGATTAAGTGAAAAATTTCAATTATCAATTAATAACAATTATAACTGATAATCAGGTTATATCATTAAAGTGTAGGGTCCCCAAATGTAAATGAAGCAGAGAAAAAACATTCTGACTTCTCTATTACTATGATAACCCTACAATATAAAAATAAGAAGATAAATGGTACAATTGCCTATGAGACAACTCTCCACCAGAGACAAAATGACATAGAAGTTAACTACGGTAGAACATTCTGGTACTCGATCAAGTAAGAGCAACTAAAAGAATTAAAATCAAGATTACAATGGGTGGAATTTAGGGGGGAAATTAACTGTTTTCCGATGTTTTTGTTGTGTATAGAAAACATATAACAGTTAATTTTTCCCCCAAATTGCACTGATTGTAAGCTTTATTTTATTAATTTTGGTTCATACTTGATGGACCATTTTTTGTACAACAACAAAAAAGGATGTCCTAGTTATCATGTGATTAATGAGTAAACAAATTTTATTTGCAGGTGCAACATGTAATGTATAGTAACGATGCAAAATACAAATGCACTCTACATGCTCTAGGCTACATGTATAATCATAGGTGTTTTTGGATCAGAAAGCATACCAGTCTATTGTCGTACATTTTGACCCTAAAACATTTATGATATGCCTTTACTGCACAATTTAGGTTGATTGATGATTGCTTAACCTCCAGTGGAAAATAATTTATACGTATATTCAGGACAAGAAAAAATTTACTATTAATGCGTTTAGTAGCTATATAAGTTTTACAAGATAATATGACCGGGATGAAGGGCAGGACTGCCACTGGAAAGGTAGGTTATGTTGGATAAATGTATATATGGCCATTGAAAACTGAACGTAGGCTTCCCCTAACACAAGAAAGTTTTGAAGAGTAGGCAGGCAGGGAAAATTTTTAATTTTTTTTGTGCAAATTGACATTATACATTGTTATATCTTTATCTGTATATCATGTATATGTAACTCCAGTCAACTTTTTTTGACTGCACAATTAAGACTACACCTTCTTTGTCACACAATTAAAGATACAACATGTCCATCTTTCATTTGTCACCTTTATAATAATGGGGGACAGATATCATATTGTACTTATTTGACCTCATGTGTTACGGTATTTCATTGATATATTAATGTCATATAAAAAAGAAAATGTGATGCCACAAATCAAAAGTGATTGTTGTGTGACTTCAATATTTAAAGTGTGGCAAAATTTATTCTTGCATCAAGTATCACAGATTTCAAAATAACAACATGTTTACAGGATTTACCACTGAAATGACAATTGAAGTCATCCAGAAATTTTGAAAAAAAGCAATATTGTCTTCCCATTGATAATTTGGCTGTTATGTTTAGGCTCTTTTTGGTTTTAGTTGGCTTTCCAAATACTTAGTTAATCAGTTCACTACTAAATATCTTTAAAGCATGTTTTTTTTCATTATCATTCATGATCATACAGGCCTGACAAGAAGCACTAGCTGCTGTCAATATAGACATAAAAAAATATACAGTGTTCTAGACTTCTGAAGTATTTTGTATTATGTACACTTTTGTAAAGCCAACAAAATTTGTGTGAAGCAGTCTATTAGTTATGTTGTTATGATCATAGTTAAATGGAGATGTTAAAAATTTAAAAAATTGGAATTTCTCATATACCGGTACATGTACTATATACATCATTTACATGTAAATATTGAATGGAAGATAAATGATTTTAAATCATGCAATTTTTTGTATTTATATCAACATATTATACATGGAAATGATGAGAAATGCATAATTGATTAGGGAAGAAAATCAATGGAGATTATAAGTTAAGACCATAATAAATGAATGTATTATAAAGACTGTAAGACTTCCCAGATGAATTCTTTCACAGCTTTAATTTCCTGCCTTCAATTCAACAGCAATCATGGTAATCTATAGGAATACCAATAATCTATGTAATTTTCATTTGAGTCATTTTTCATAGATTTCATAGAAATTCTCTGACTTTCTGACTAATCATTTTATCGTGTTTATGTCACACTCATGTATGTTGCTAAAAAATCTTTCAGTCAAATTTTAGTTTACTGAAGCGGTATATTGTTACATTTTCTACATTCATGTTAATACATATATACTATCATAATGTATGTAAATTGCATTTGCACCAGAGAGTTGTTTCAAGGAAAATAGTCTGATATGACCTAAAAAGTATAATAGATTAATAGACTCTTTATAAAGGCTAGGCAAAGTAGAACAAAGAAAATTTTAACTACAAATTAGCAATTAATTTTTGTACACTTGTTTTTTATGCCCCCGCCATAGCGGAGGGGTCATTAAGTTTTACCCTTGTCCGTCTGTACGTCTGTATGTCCCAAGATTGGTTTCCGTTCTCTAACTTTAGTTTGCCACAACCAAATGTTATATAACTTATACATAATGCTTATTACCACAGATCAAGTTTGAATTTTGGTGGGGTCACTTTCACCGTTCTAGAGTTATGCCCCTTTACAAATGGAAAAAAATTGCTAAATTTTTCGTTTCCGTTCTCTCACTTTAGTTTGCCTCAACCAAATGTTATGAATCTTATATGCAATGCTTATTACTACAAAACACATATCAAGTTTGAATTTTGGTGGTGTCGCTTCTATCGTTCTAGAGTTGATCCCCTTTACAAATGAAAAAAAATGCTGAATTTTTCTTTTCTGTTCTCTTACTTAAGTTTGCCTCAACCAAATGTTATGAAACTTATACACAATGCTTATTACCACAAAACTCAGATCAAGTACAAATTTGGGTAGCTTCACTTGTACAATTCTTGAGTTATGTCCCTTTATAACATTATATGCAAGTGGGGGCATCATCTGTGTCCCATGGACACATTCCCCTTTTATTTTTTTAGAGTTTTAAAAAAGTATATTACAAATTCAATGTATTTGCCCTAAAGACATAACTTTTTTGAACTTCCACTGAAAACAGACTACTGTAAAACAACAAATTTTCGGGAGCGATTTATTTTCGCGACTTTCACGAGTGGAAAAGGTTATAATTACCTACTCTGTGGTAGGAAATTCTGTACTCTGTCAAGTAAAAGCAACTAAAAGAAATAAAATCAAGCTTACAATAGGTGCAATTTGGGGAAAAAATTAACTGTTTTCATATGATTTGTTGCATATGGAAACAATGAAACTGTTCATATTTTCCCAAATTGCACAGATTATAAGATTGCTTTTACTTCTTTTAGTTATTACTTAATAAACAGTTTTCTTTTTTACAACAACAAATGTCTTCCTGCTGACTGTTACTTTTTGAACTAGCACATTAAAAATCTGACTCAGTGTGTCGTTCTTGTACAAAGCAGGGTTAATATTCATATTACATTAACATGTTCTCGTCCTGAATATGCACGTTAATTTGCCGCTGGACATTAAGCAGCCATCCATCATCATCATGTGATTAATGAGTAACTTTATTTGCAGGTGCAACATGTGACCTGATCATTTCAGGAAATGAGAACCAAGCTGTCTTTGTAGGTAACAATGTTACACTGTCATGTGTTATAAAAAAACATGGTGTGGACATATTCCAGGATAAAAATCATCTACCTAACACGTATAATGTAACTTGGAAACACACCCCTGTTCGCTCTCAGAAAACAGTTGATATTCTAGAAGTACAGATAGACACTGGTTCCCAACATGGTTCATCACTGGTTCATACTGCTGATGGAAACAAGTATTTCACATCAGCAAAGGATGCATCATTGATAGTACTAGATATTGACCTCACTGATGCTGGACTGTACACCTGCATAGTGCAAGGTGATTCACAGTTAAAGAATGCCTCTGCAGATTTGTTTGTTTTATGTAAGTTTTAAATTTGTATTAGAAAGATGTATACTTGAAAAAGTCAAAGAATAGCAAAAGGGGGAAGGAATTGGTAAGATAAAGAAAGACAGACAATAGTTACACCATGACAAAAAAAAGATTGACCAATATGAAGATCACAATTTACTTAACGAATATTATATGAATTTTAAATTGAGTTGAGAAAGAAGAAAAAAAGACTGAAAAAAGAGAAGGAAAAGACAGTTGTCAAGGTACAGTCACATTGCTTGCTAGTTCAGGCAAGATAATACAATTCTTAAAACACAAAAACAGAAGAACAAGTAAAAAGTCCATGTCAGCCCATATCACACTGAAGAACAAGTAAAAAGTCCATGTCAGCCCATATCACACTGAAGAACAAGTAAAAAGTCCATGTCAGCCCATATCACACCGAAGAACAAGTAAAAAGTCCATGTCAGCCCATATCACACTGAAGAACAAGTAAAAAGTCCATGTCAGCCCATATCACACTGAAGAACAAGTAAAAAGTCCATGTCAGCCCATATCAGAATTCATATATTATAAGTATTTGTTATTGAATAATTTAGTGAATGTTCAAATTTATGTATATGATGCTCATGTTTATTATAGCTATATGTATATGATGTATATCACTAATGCATTTAAATTTATATAGCTTTCAGTAATAGTTTTAATTTAACTTAAAGTACTATGATTATTTTTAAACAGTGCCACCACAGTGCCGCAACCTTATACCGTTCTTCACTTACCATAATGGGAACTTCGACCAGCAAACATTATTTGATTGTACTGTAAATTACCGTGGAAACAAGCCTCCTATAATACTTTGGAAACATGACAAACAGGAACTGAATACCGGCACAGATTACCATAACAACACTTTTGCCATGGCAACCTTATCATTTAAACCAGATAAAAAGTATGATGGTTATAGATTCCTGTGTTTGGTTGAGTATCCAAGTGCTAAGTTTCTAACAGCATGTCAAACTAAGCCACCATTACAGATTTATTGTAAGTTAAAAATTTTAATGGGGATTATAAGTATACCACTGCTCCAAAGGAAGTGTATACTGGTTTACGTCTGTCCAACCATGTGTTAGTCCATCTGTCAAATAAAATTTTCGTAACTTTTTCCTCAGAAATTACAAATCAGAGCTCCCAGAAAGTTCATGAAGGGTTAAAATTTGCCCTAAGATTTTGATGTTTTATTAATCAGGCCATAATACTACAAGTTTCACATAGAAATAGTTATGATATAAATTTATAGAGGTATAGGGGGAGGGTTGAGATCTCACAAAACATGTTTAACCCCGCCGCATTTTTGCGCCTGTCCCAAGTCAGGAGCCTCTGGCCTTTGTTAGTCTTGTATGTTTTTTTATTTTAGTTCATTTATATGTTTTGGAGTTTAGTGTGATGTCCATTTTCACTGAACTAGTACACAATTTTATTTAGGGGCCAGCTGAGGACCACCTCCGGGTGCGGGATTTTCTCGCTGCGTTGAAGACCCATTGGTGGCCTTCGGCTGTTGTCTGCTCTTTGGTCGGGTTGTTGTCTCTTTGACATATTCCCCATTTCCATTCTCAATTTTATGATATTACTATTAATACAAAATAACTTCATTTTGACACATCATATTAAAAATGACGAAGTATTGACTCTTTAAGTATGCATTATTTGAGTTGTAAGTTACTTGTAACCTCAGTTTTGGTCAAATTTTCAATAATTCTTAACAGTTTTTAGCATAATTTACTTTGGCCGCCACCCACCATCAAGAAAGTTTTTGTGTCTAGGGATTCAATATCATCATTGGCAACTTTTGGTTATAGAACATTTTGGATCCTAGGTTGCGGCCAAGAGTTTCCTTAAGCTTTTAGGTCTGAAAAATGCACAAAATCATCGTATTTTGACAAAATGTCCAAAATGTGCTGATTTTGAAGCCAAAAATGTACTCTTATGAAGAGATTTCTTTTAACAAAGAAGTAAATATTTTGAAATAGATCCATTTAAGAACCAAATTCTGGCCATTCTGAAATTTTATGGTAAAGCTGAAATTGAAGGCCATATTTGGCCTAAAGTGAACCTTGTCCTTTGATATGTAGCTGCACGTGAGCATGCTATACTGTGTGAAGCATTTTCATATTAATCACTCAATCTATTTGTTCCTGTTTAACAGATACTTATATCATGTATATATATATATATATATATTCTTTCACATAATGCAATTTAATGGCCAAGTATGAAATGTTCATCACATTTTTCTCAGGGACTACAAATCAAGGCTTTCTGAAATATAGAATCAAGCTTCATCTGAGCATGATATAATTACTCTGTGATGTGTTTACACATCATCATTCATCAACTTCCTATTTGTAGAAAAAAATGCTTCTAGTGGGAGTATCATTAGTGAGCTGACAGTTAAACTTGTTTGTATTGACTTGATATATAGATGCATTTACAAGATACATGTAGGTTTGTTTGATGGATCACTGCTTTACATTGTACATGCAGCAACACTGTCACTTAACTTACAAACCCTCATTATTGTTCCCACACTGTGATGTTTTTTTTTTACATTATCCACTTTTTTCCCTTACATTGTTTTTATGTACATAATCCATTATTGTATATCTAGGGTTTGAGGTAATGGGGGGTTTCATAATTGTTCCAAATGTTTGGGAAAATTTACACAAAAAATCCCAATCAAAAGGTTGACCTTTTACCCCCAACCCACCCTTTGAATCCACTGCTGCACACTATGGCTATTTGCATGGTTATTTTTGATAGCATACCTTTACATATCTACTGACTACTGAGATTGCCCTAATCTGCTAAAATAACAGGGTTTTTTAACAATTTTTTCATTAATCAATTTTAGTTCCTGTACATTTAAACAAAATGATAATAAAACCTCAAGCCAAGGAATATGTTTATAATTCTGGGAAGAACATTAACCTGGACTGTCAAGCAAGTGGAAATCCCCATCCTAAATATAGATGGACATTTAAACCCAAGGGAGATAACTCAGCAGAAACTACTTTGGCTACAGAACCAAGATACACAATAACTGATGCAGATGAAAAAAATGAAGGAACATACAACTGTACAGTGACAAACAACATTAATGGAACGTTGTTTATTGATACGCAGACAAAATATATCAAAATAAATGGTAAGATATTATGTTATTTTAAAATGAAAAGAAGTTTGAGATACACATTGTAATGAGACAGTACAGCATTTAACAATATTAACGGAATACTTATTAACAGTGCACATAAGTTAAGAAATTCAATATAAATAAATGGTACATTTGATCATATGACGACTAACAATATTAGTGTTTCTCTGTTTATTGAAATCTCTTTTAACAGTAGTTTACTGAAAACCACAAAATTTTATTCCAAAATGAACAGTGATGATTGATTGGTGTTTAATGCCACTTTCAGCACTATTGTGCTATTTCGAGGCGGTCAGTTTTGATTGATGGAGGAAGCCAGAGGGCCCGGAGAGAACCAAGACCTTCGGTAGGAAAACTGACAATCCTAGTCAATTAAGATTGAAGTTAAGCGCACCTACCTTGTGCAGCTTTCGAACTCACAACCTCAGTGTTGTCAGGCTAGTAGTTCGACTACTTAGACCACTAGGCCACTGAGGCCCCTTAAGAACAGTGATGAAATGCAATCTTTAATAACCATACTGCAATCTGGTGCTGACCAGGTTACTCTATGAAACATTCTAAAACAATTAGTTACAGGTGTAACATACTAACTCATATATAACAAATGAAATTTGATTTCAGTATGAATTGAATCTTTGTTATTCTTGTAGATGAAAATAGTTCCGATGGAGAATACAGATTTGTTATTATACAAACAAGTCAGGAGGACAACACTACCCCAAAACCAACAACTTCAGCAGGTGGTTAGTTCAATCAATTATACTGTAGACCAATTTTAAAGAATGATGTATTTCTTGGCTATCATGAGTAGATATTTATAACAAATTACTGCATATATTTTAAACTTGATATTCATACAACTATTTTCATAATGACCCTTTGTTCAAATGTTAATTTCATTAGTATTCAATTTTCAATTTATAAATTATTTTTTGCATTCAATCAATTTCCAAGCTTTTTAGAATATTTAATGCTGATAAAGTTCAAATATTGTTGTTTACAAAATACCTGTAATCAGGACCTTGAAATTATCAAGTTGTGGGAACTCCAAACATGCCTTATACACTCTGTTTAGCTTAAACATATTTTGCATAAACACAAATTCGATTAGACACAAGTCAAACAGAATTATACAATCTTCTCTGGGCTAATACTTATACAAGTAATTTTTTTTTCTAGTATCTCCGTACGCCATTGGCGCAGTTATATGTGCAATATTGGCTGTCATTCTAATCCTGGTGTTTGTCATCCTGGGAATGAAATTCAGAGTAAGTATATTGTAGTTTTGTACTCAAGATTGATATTTCTCTTTTTCTACAAAACTTCAACCTTTAATTTTTGTCGAGCCTGCGACCTCTGTCGCAGAAAGTTCGACATAGGGATAGTGATCCGGCGGCTGCGTTAACTAACTAGTGCTTAAAAGCTTTATATTTTAGAATTTGAAAGACCTGGATGCTTCATACTTTGTATATAGATGACTTTTGTTATGAAGTTTCCTTTTGTCATATGTCCATTGTCCTTGATCTCATTTCATGGTTCAGTGACTACTTGAAAAAAAGATTTTTTTGTAATGTTAATTTCTCTCTTATTAGAAGTAATAGGATAACTATATTTAGTATGTGCATACCTTGCAAGGTCCTCATGCCTGTCAGACAGTTTTCATCTGACCTCAACCTCGTTTCATGGATCAGTGAACAAGGTTAAGTTTTCGTGGTCAAGTCCATATATCAGATACTATAAGCAATAGATCTACTATATTTGGTGTATGGAATGATTGTAAGGTGTACATGTCCAACTGGCAATTGTCGTCTGACCTTGGCCTCATTTTCATGGTTTAGTGGTTAAAGTTAAGTTTTTGTGTTTTGGTCTTTTTTTATAATACTATATTCAATAGGTAAACAATATTTGGTTTATGGAAATGTTTTACGATGTACATGTCAGTCTGGCAGGTTTTATTTGACCTTGACCTCATTTTCACAGTTCATTGCTCAGTGTTAAGTTATTGTGTTTTGGTCTGTTTTTCTTGAACTATAAGCAATAGGTCAACTTTATTTGGTGTATGGAATGATTGTAAGGTGTATATGTCTGTCTGGCAGGTACCATCTGACCTTGACCTCATTTACATGTTTCATTCATCAATGTTAAGTTTTCATGGTTAAGTTTGTTTCTTAGATACTATAAGCAATAGGTTAACTATGTTTAATGCATTGATTGATTGTAAGGTGTACATGTCTGTCTGTCATGGTTCAACTAACCTTCACCTCATTTTCATGGTTCATTGGTCAATGTTAAGTTTTCCTGGTTAAGTTTGTTTCTTAGAAACTATAAGCAGTAGGTCAACTATATTTGGTATATGAAATGTTGTAAGGTGTACATGTATTTCCGGTTTGGTTTATTTGACCTTGACCTCATTTTCATGGATCATATTAAGTTTATGTGATACTTGTAGTAAAGCTTTATATTTAGGACTATCAACATAAAATCAATGGTCAGTAAAGCAGGCGAGACATTTCAGCATGTGCACACTTGTTTAACTTTTAATTCACTTCTAGTAAAAAGGCAAGTGTTGGCTTTTGTCAATACTATTAGTGTCCATAATTTGCCATAAGTCGTCTATCTAAAACAGATTAAAAAATCTATTCGTCTGAAAACACTAGGCTAATGGAAAGAATATTAAGTCTTCGTCAACCTTGTTTTAGGTCATTCTTCAAATTGTGTTTTAAGAACCCGTTCTGAAACCAGAATAGTTGCTTTTACTAAAAATAGAACAGATTGGTAAACTCTATAAATCAATATGAAAAATCCTGTAAAAATAGGTAGAAAAAAACTAGATATTAAGCAACACATACCCCACCAAAATCAAAGGGTTAAATCAGGTGCTACAGAAGAGTAAATAGTACCTGCCTCACTATTGACACTCATTTTATTGCTGTAAGCGATCAATTACTATCAAAATACGAGGAAATGAAAGATTTGTGATTCCCTTTATAGATTTAGGTGGATGACCTCAGATGCTTTCAACTTGACCTCTTCTGTTACTAAAATCTAAGAATTGGACATAAATTTGTACTTAAAAAATTTGAAAAATCATGGGAAGGGCTAATTGCTACCAAACAATGGTTATAGATTCCTTCAAACACGACTATAAGATTTGTGTATAACGTTTATGAAAGTTTAATTGTTTAAACTTTTTGTGTATGACACAACACATAAACAATACATGTAGTTATTATTTGTTGTCATTCATGCAGTATGTATAAACTAATGTATGTAATGACGTAACTAATAGTTGTATGATCCTATCTAGGATCAGTGCTTTCTCATGCAGATGAGGGACAAACGAACTCATACGAGATTGACACGAGATCATGATGAGAACATGGATGACCAGGAAATAGAGCTTTTAGATGAAAGTGTCCAGTCCAGAGTTAGTAGTGATGAGGTGAGTTGCAATTTATTTTGAGAGGATATATGGTATGGTGTATAATAAATAGGTGTAAGGAGTAATCAACGCACAAACTCATCTCAGGACTGAATTTAAGCTTTGAAATTTTGTGTGACTCATTTAAGGTACAATACCATCTGTTAATTTCAGTCGTCGCTTGGTGTTCAAATCACTGAAGTCCTTATGTAAATGTGTTTTCATTTTGAGGTGAGTCCCTGTGTCCTAGACTCATGAAAGTTAGATTGGACAAATCAGTCGTCACTTGGTGTTCAAATCACTGAAGTCCTTATGTAAATGTGTTTTCATTTTGAGGTGAGTCCCTGTGTCCTAGACTCATGAAAGTTAGATTGGACAAATCAGTCGTCACTTGGTGTTCAAATCACTGAAGTCCTTATGTAAATGTGTTTTCATTTTGAGGTGAGTCCCTGTGTCCTAGACTCATGAAAGTTAGATTGGACAAATCAGTCCCAAGCTGCATCATGATTCTATATAAAGCTGAATCAACAGATTCTAATTTTCATTACAAATACATTGAAATTTAAAATCGATATTATATTATTTCATGCTTTATTTCCAGTAGTAAATGATGCATTAAGGCTTTGATTGTCTTGATGTTGATTTTTCAAGAGCTTTGGACAAGCCATAGCCAAAAAATGACCAGTCCTTGGACTCTTTTCAAAATGCTGTAATATGAATATAATGGAAATAGAAATTATTTTATTTTAGCCACAGTATGGTAGATTGAAGTTATACTGGGAAATTCCAAGGAAGGACATACGCTTAGTAGAAGAGATAGCTGCAGGGAGCTTTGTGGAAGTATGGAAAGGAAAAATGAAGAAATATCCTAACAGCAGTGAGATACAAAAAGTGGCTATAAAGAAACTGATAGGTAAAATGTGATATAAGTTTTACATGCACATATGTACAGGTTTGGAAACTTTAGTGAAGTTGCTTATGTCCAGCAATTTTTCCATACGTTCTCAGTACATTATGTATTTAAAAAAAAACTGTCATCTACCAAGAAACCACAAAAAATGTCTAAAAATTATATTTTTAATGATGTTCTTTGACTTTTGTCGTAAAATTAAATAACAGTTAATGACAGAACAGAAACATTGAAAAATGTAAAAAGTTTTTTGACATTATTATTAAAGATTATTTTGAATGCACAAGACAACAAGCAGTGTGAAGATGCATATTGAAAAGTATTAATCAAAAACATCTAATGATTCTCAATTTATCAAGTTGTGATTGCGGCAAATTGTTTTAGTGTTTTCAATCGGTAGAGTTATGGTTCATACAAGCAGTGAAATAAAAAATAGCAGATTTCGGCGCTGTAAATTTTATGAAAATATTCTTAATATGATAATATTTGTGGAAAAATGAGCTGATGATACGATTTTCAATGGAAACTAAAAGGAGTGGAACACGAGGAATTCATGAATTCACCTCCTATTGCACAATCTCAGTTGCAAAAGGGTTCTGATTCTTAACACTTTTTACCATGAAACACATAACACTCATAGCTTGGAACACATTACACTGACATAGCTTGGAACACATATTAAAGACTGATATAGCTTGGAACACATGATACTTGAAAAGCTTGGAAAACATTACACTAATATAGCATAGAAAGCATAATACTCATATTTCTTGGAACACTCAACACTTATTACCATGAAACACATAATACTCATAGGTTTGAACACATTACACTGATAAAGCTTGGAACACATTACACTTATTTACCTTGGATCACATTACACTGATATAGCTTGGAACACATAACACTCATATTGCTTGGAACACTCAACACTTATTACTTTGTAACACATAACACTCATAGCTTTGAACACATTACACTGATATAGCTTGGAACACATAACACTTGTATAGCCTGGACCTCAGTACACTGATATAGCTTGGAACACATAACACTTGTATAGCCTGGACCTCATTACACTGATATAGCTTGGAACTCATAACACTTGTATAGCCTGGACCTCATTACACTGATATAGCTTGGAACATATAACACTTGTATAGCCTGGACCTCATTACACTGATATAGCTTGGAACACATAACACTTGTATAGCCTGGACCTCATTACACTGATATAGCTTGGAACACATAACACTTGTATAGCCTGGACCTCATTACACTGATATAGCTTGGAACACATAACACTTGTATAGCCTGGACCTCATTACACTGATATAGCTTGGAACATATAACACTCATATTGCTTGAAACAGTCAACACTGATTAGCTTGAAACACTCAACACTGATTAGCTTGAAACACTCAACACTGATTAGCTTGAAACACTCAACACTGATTAACTTGAAAAATAACACTGATCCACCTTGGAACACATAGCACTGATATAGTTTGTAACATATAAATTTGAAATATAACTTGGCACAAATGATCGTGATAATACTAGTAGGACATGTTGTCCTGCATCTGCTTGTTTAAATATAATATTGATTCCTTCACAGAAAATGCTACAGAGCAGGAAAGAAAATTTTTCCTTGGTGAGATGGAAGTACAGAAAATGTTACAACCTCATCCTAATGTTATACTTCTGATTGGTTGTTATACCTTCCATGGTAAGTTCTCCACCAATAGATATACAGAAAATGTTACAACCTCATCCTAATGTTATCCTCCTGATTGGTTGTTATACCTTCCATGGTAAGTTCTCCACCAATAGATATACAGAAAATGTGACAACCTCATCCTAATGTTATCCTCCTGATTGGTTGTTTTACCTTTCATGGTAAGTTCTCCACCAATAGATATACAGAAAATGTTACAACCTCATCCTAATGTTATACTCCTGATTGGTTGTTATACCTTTCATGGTAAGTTCTCCACCAATAGATATACAGAAAATGTTACAACCTCATCCTAATGTTATCCTTCTGATTGGTTGTTATACCTTCCATGGTAAGTTCTCCACCAACAGAAAACGCTACAATAACATCCTAACTTCATCATTCTAATTGGTTGTTTGGACTTTCATGGTAAGTTATCTAACAAAAGATTTACAGAAAATACTGCAAATCATCCATGTGATTGTTTGATAGATGTTCCATGGTAAAGTTCTCCACTAATATCTCTTGGTAGATGACTCGTCTAGAGTGTGGGATATTGTGTATTAAATCCCTGGCAAGTCGAAGCAAACTCTTGAAACTACACCAAAAGTTTTTACAGAAAATGAATTGTTACAACATCCTCACATCCTTTTTCTGATTGGTTTTTATACTTTCCATTGTAAAATTCTTCATTTGTTTATGGGTAAAAAATGAACAGGTTTTTTTTTTCCTTTAAAATAACTGTTTCAAAATTTGTTGATTTTAAACAACTTTAGATAAAGGATTTCAAACATTGTGAACACAGAAACTTGTATATCATTTTAGAGCTTAAGACATTTATATGAAGAAACTTTAAGGCTACCCTTGATACCCTAATCTGCCTTTCTTGCATACTATATTTATTATTACAGAGCCATGGTTGTTAATGCTAGAGTATGCACAAGAGGGCACTCTATATGAGTATCTACAAAACAGCCGTCCAGGAGCACAGATAGTGCAGATTTCATCTAATTCAGTACATCATAAAAACATTAACTCACATCGACTGCTAGCCATAGCTGCACAAGTGGTTAATGGATTGATGCATCTACAAAAGTTTAAGGTAATCTAGATCTCTTATAATTAGTGGAATGACACCTACTCTAGTTAAAGTAATCTTTTATTGAGTTGGAGTTCCAAATTCTGAAGTTGAAAGTAAACTGGAACTTTAAATGACTGAATTTGTTTTGGGAGATGGTATTAAGGAATCACCCTGCCTTTCTTTCTGTCCATCTGCCTTGTAAAAACAACAACTCCTTAACAGCTGGACTGATAGTTATGAAACCATAACCCTGAAGATGTGTATAAACAAATGTAATCCCAGACAGACATATTAAAGGGGAGATAACCAAATTTATGTACTTCAATTTTGCAATATGTAGTAATAGTATCCTGTAAGCGCAACTCTTCCTCAGTAGGTAGACAGATATTGATGACATTTACAGTTGTAAAACATGTGCATAAAGGAATATAATTCTGGTCCAACATGTTAAAGGGGAGATCATCAAATTTAATTACTTTATTATGGCAATATGTGATAATAGTGGCAAAAGGCAGAGTATCCTTTTGTGAGTTCACTAACAGTTCTAGGTTAAATTTATGGTTGATTAAAATAGCTGGTGATTGGGAATTATAGATTCCCAAGTTAAAACTTTAATTCTCTTTGAAGGAAAATGCAAAAACCTAATCTTCAGATTTACAGTAACTAGAATTCTGATTGTGTAGCAGTTAAATAGATAAACAAGTTTATGAAAGGATTGAATCTAGTCTTTTGAGTTCCTGTGGTATGATGATTCATTAACCAGGGCATATTTGTTTAAAGGAAATGTTTGATACTTACTTAATCTTGTCACTGACAGCAACCCCATATAGAGGCTGATTAAAAAATTTATTTTATTAACATCAGGAATATATTTATGATTCATGTGAAATAGTAAGATTTCTATATTTTGGCATTACAATTTTTACTAATTTGATGAACTGTAAGAAAATTGCCCATTTGACTGCTAAATCCTAAACATGGAAAAGGATATAATGCAAATTTAAAAGTAGGAAGAGTTCAATGGAACAATTTGAGAAAAGAATGATGCCAGCATGTCCTGCCTGTCATATACTAAGTTTCTAGAACCATGGAAAAAATCGACAAAAAATTTCACATAACAGTGCTTCATAATAGATGTTTACTATGTATGAAAAGGGATACATTAGGGGAAAATACTATGCAATAATCAAAGAACTAAAAGTTCCAAACTGAATAAGAATGTTAAGTTGATTATTTACTGACTATTAACACAAGTTTTACATTCTAACTTATTGTGGACTCACATGGCAGGTGATGCATGCATAGTAAGAGATATTTACCTTGTCAACACCCAATCTAAATACTTTTGGAGTTCATGGCATTCACTTAGTTTTCATTTTTTACCTTGATTTGTATGTTGTGAACGGGTTTTAACATCTGTTTATTATGATGCTGTCCCTAATTTAAATTTCAGTTGATATACTATCGTCTGAAGACCAGTAATATTTTGGTAGGACGTGGAGGAATCTGTAAGCTAACAGGATTTGGATTCCCACATGAAATAACAGAGAGAAATCAGTATGAAAATGTAAGTCATGCTGTATAAGGTCCTTACACATTCAGATTTGATGTTACAAGGAAACAACCAGTATTTTCTGTAGAATTTTATTTTTGAAGAATGGAGGAATGGGTTATATGATGTTGGATATGAATTGTGAAGGATGGGGCTTACATATAAAGAAAGATTGGAGGTTTCAAAATGGCAACTTATTTTTCTCCTCTCTTGCTACCTTAAGTTATATGATGTTAGAAGTCTCATTATTATTATAAAATCTAATTGTGAATTCAAAATCCTGTAAACTTTGCATTTTAAAGTTTGAAAAATAACTATCATGAGTTCAGTATGTTTTGAATTAAATATTAACATTGCTGCTATAAAGTAAATGTATTGTAAATATAAAAATAAGGAGATGTGATACGAGTACAAACTATCCAACAGAAACAAAAGGATGTGGATGTTAGCAACTATAGGTTATTGTATGGCCTTTAACAATGAGCAAAATCCATACCATAGAGTAAGCTGCAAAAGTTAAGAGCATTAAAAAATGTGAAACAATTCAAACTAGAAAAACCAACAACCTTAGAGGTTTATGCAACAAACAAAATAAGAAAAACAAACATGGCAGACAGCAACAAAATACCACTGAATTACAGGCTCCTGACTAGGGACACCACATACAGAATATGGTGGGGTAAAACATGTTTGCCACTGCTGACGCCTTCTCCTAAAGTTTATATTGATTTGAGTATTTTTTAACCAACTTCAGATATTGTATTGCTCTAGTTGTTGTTAACAATGTCCCTTAGTGTTACAACAATGACACTAAGGTTCTTCCCAGTGTTGTTTATTGCCAATAAAACCAGGGAATATCATTATGTGGTGGGGTTAAACATGTTTGCAGCAGCTGAAGCCTCCTACTAAAGTTTATATTGTTATACAGTACTTTATATCAGAATATTTGATTTTGAACTGTAGGTATTACATGTTGTTAAACAATGATGTATGGCAGAATGATTTATATTGCCCAGTAGACAATACAAATTCCCTTTTTTTACAGGATACTTTACCTGTTGAGTGGATGTCACCAGAATCATTGAAGGAACAAATATATAATTATCGATCAGATATCTGGTCCTATGGGGTTTTGCTATGGGAAATCATACATTTTGGTAAGTTACAAAAACAACATTGCATTGTGTAAAATTCATATAATTTCATCAATATAAATATAAGACGATAAGAATAGAAGCAAATATAGGTCATCGTATAGCCTTTAATAATGATAAAAACCCATACCATATAGTCAGCTATAAAATGCCCTGACATCAAAAATGAGAAACAATTCAAACAAGAAAACTAGTACCTTATTTATAACAATACAATTTAGGAAAAATAAATAGGACAGACATGAACCAAAGACAACCACTGAATTACAGACTTGTGACAAGTATATAAAGAATGTGATGGGGTTAATAGATATAAGAAGATGTGGTATGAGTGCCAATGAGACAACTCTCCATCCAAGTCAAATTTTAAAAAAGTAAACCATTATAGGTCAAAGTACGGTCTTCAACACAGAGCCTTTGCTCACATCGAACAGTAAGCTATAAAGGGCCCCAAAAATTAAACATGTTTGTGAGCGCTCAACCTTCCCCCTAACCTGGGAGAGTGGTGTGACAGCACATCATAAGAACAAAGTAAAAATCAGCTGCAAATGTCTTAACTCAATAGATTGGTACGAGCATAGAGAAACAACTAACATTAGAACAATAGACACAAAGCACAGACATAATGGTACTCAGTTACTTAAAGCTAGTTCAAAGCAAGTTACAACTAATAAATAAATCATGTTCTCTCAGACTAAAGTATAAAGCAATACACCTTTTGAATTAAAGTAGTACTGTTTCATATTTAACTAAAAGTATTGTTTGCGGCCCTTGGGCTTTTGATGCTTCAAAAAGTCTATAACAAACACCATATATTATTTATATCTCTATTGTAAAAGTGTGAAACCTCACTACCAGCAATAAGTGCAAACTTGACCTCTAGATGTGTTTTTTTTATGTCATTCTGATGCTATTTCATTAACATATCCTCCAGATCTCCTTTTATTTATATTATATATATCATTATTATATTTTAGGTTTATCTCCTTATTTACATCTTGAAAGACAAGAAATAGAAGATATTATTTTGTCAGGAAATCGACTAGAACGACCACCACACTGTAGCGAAGACTTGTAAGTAATCGGATATTAACTTTACGATAATAATCATAGGTTAACAAACTTGATGCTGGGTGTAAATCACAAGACTTTTATCAATTAAGTCAGAGATGGTAATATTCTGTTCGCTGTCATTTTTGTCGAGCCTTCGACTTTTGTCAAAAAAGCGAGACATAGCGATCCTACATTCCGTTGGCGTCCACAAATATACACTCTGTGGTTAAAGTTTTTGAAATTTTAATAACTTTCTTAAACTATCCTGGATTTCTACCAAACTTGGACAGAAGCTTGTTTATGATCATAAGATTATATTAAAAAGTAAATTTTGTAAAAAAAAATCCATTTTTTCCTATTTTACTTATAAGTGGACTTAGTTTTTCTGCCAGGAAACATTACATTCACTCTGTGGTTAAAGTTTTTGAAATTTTAATAACTTTCTTAAACTATCCTGGATTTCTACCAAACTTGGAAAGAAGCTTGTTTATGATCGTAAGATAGTATCCAGAAGTAAATTTTGTAAAAAAAAAATCCATTTTTTCCGTATTTTACTTATAAATGGACTTAGTTTTTCTGCCAGTTAACATTACATACACTCTGTGGTTAAAGTTTTTAAAATTTTAACAACTTTCTTAAACTATCCTGGATTTGTACCACACTTGGACAGAAGCTTGTTTATGATCAAAAGCTAGTATCTACAAGGAAATTTTGATAAAATTTTGTTCCATTTTTTCCGAATTTTACTTAGTTTTTCTTCCAGTCAACATTACATACATTCTGCAGTTTAAGTTTTTAAAACATTTATTAGATTCATAAATTATCCTGGATTTTTACCAAACTTGGACAGAAGCTACTTACAATCAAAAGATAGTATAGAGAGGAATATTTTTATTAATTTTTTTCCTCATTTTTGTTGAGCCTGCGATTAACACCAAAAGTAGGCGAGACACTGGGTTCCGCGGAACCCTTACAAATTTTTTATCATAGATAGGTAGTTGATTGCTTAATATTTTTGTCATTTGACATTGCTTTGATGCTATGCATTGACAGTAGTACATTTAATGGTAATTTTCAGTAGATCATGTATTGTAATAGCTTTCATATTGAAAAGTTTCTAAATTAGCAGGGAACTATCTTGCGAACTTGATAAATATAGTGATTGTCATATCTTGACACAATCTGTCAGCAGTTGTAAAAAAAATACAATTGTCTCCCATGTCAAATTGTCTAAAAATGGTTAGCACTTTACACTTTTGGTCCAGATTACACTTTTGGTCCAGATTTTAAAGTAGGTGATCTGGTTTAAATTTATATATTACAGGTATCAGTTAATGTTAGAATGTTGGCAAGAAGATCCGACGAAGAGAAAAGAATATCCTGATATTTTACAAGTTTTGTCCAACCTGGCAGCTGATCATTCATTACATATACTGCTTAATAGTTTACCTGACTCATGTAAATTTACACAAGCTGTGTAGTATCTGTTTTATTTATTATGTTATGCTACTATATACAAATGACAAATCATAGCACCAAAGTTAATGAAGATTTACCAGAAACTTTTAATTTCTAGAAGTTGTAAATGTTGTTGAATACTAGTCCCTTATACTTAATTTTTGACAGAATTCAAATATTAAAGCAGTGTATTACTTTTTAACATGTCTTCCTAATAACAATCAATTTATAGACACAAAATTACTTTATATTGCTTAGAAGTCCTAAAATTCCTCAAAGGTACACTACAGTTAACTGGATAGTTATATTTTGTACCTGAGTTGCCTTCTTTGTATGAAATGTAAACCACTTCAGTTGGGACTTCAGTGAAGAATTGTTATTGTATATTAAAATAAAATGATGAAAATTTACCCCAAAAAGTAACAGTGTGCAATGAATAACGTTTTGAGCCTCTCAATTTATACAGGAGTTATCTCCCATCAAGATGATGCCATTGGCGTATGAAAGCAAAATGTCGATGGACCATCAAAAGACAAGGAAGCACGATTTGGAAATTGATCTGGTGCCAAGTGCAATCTAGCCTTCAGAAGCTGGCCTTTTCAAGACCATAATTTTTGTCTCTCCTTGACGGAGTCAAAAAGCGAGACATAGGTATGCTGTTCTGGTGGCGGCAGCGTCAACGATGTATTAGTTTGTGATTAGGTCTAGTTCATGGTGAACCACTAGTGGTAGGTCAATGATATTTGGTATGCAGTTGTATTAGCATTGGCACATCTCATTACCATGGAGATTATTTGGCCCCGCCCCCTCAGTCAAGGTCTATTGACTTTGAAACTTTTCATAGTTTACATGTATTAGTTTGTGGTTAGGTCAATTTATGGGGAACCACTTGTGGTAGGTCAATGATATTTGGTATGCAGTTGTATAAGCATTAGTACATCTCATTTCCATGAAGAATATTTGGCCCCACCCCCTCAGTCATGGTCTATTGACTTTTGCTTAGTTTACATGTATTAGTTTGTGATTAGATCAGTTTAAGATGAACTGCTAATGTTAAGTCAATGATATTAAGTATCATTTCCATGGAGATTATATAGCCCCACCCCTGATCATGGTTCATTGACTTTGAAACTTTTACATAGTTTACAAGTTAATGTTTGTGCTTAAGTTTGTTTAAAGGGAACGACTTATAAGTCAATGCTATTTGGTATGCAGTTGTATTAGCATTGGCACATCCCATTCCATGGAGATTGTTTAGCCATGTACCTTCAGTCATGGTTCATCGACTTTGAATATTTGCATAACTTACATGTTAAAGTATTGCTATTTTGATTTCAACATTTGCATTATCAAAATTACAAAAAGGCGAGACATATCTCTGTGATAACAGTTTATTTTACAGAAAGAATCTACCTTTGTTGTACATACAATCCATTCTTATACACAGAATAATTCTCTGACAAATGTGTATTAATTACACTCTAAAGGCATGCACTTCTTTAACAGGTATCTTCAATGTTTGGAAAGGAACTGTTGTTAGTTGTGTATTATAAGCAAATGAGGCCCCATAGAAGTGGTGAATATCAAATATTGTCAATCCTAAAAAGTTCTTTCACTTTGGGCTCCACCTTCATGGAATAATCTTTAAGTAGAGGAGCAAAAATGCAGGATTTATTTCACATGTGAAATATCTTTTTAAAATTTGACCAGAAAATCACAATACTTCTTTGAAACTGCACTTAGATGTGAATCCAGTCATTATTTTTATTCTTGACACAACTTTTTTTTTAACTTAAGGAATTATTATTCATATGAAACTTTAAATTGTTCACAATATATATTATGTGTGCCAGGTGGTAACATTTTAAGTCTATTATGAAAACTATTCGCATTCAGCACATATCATGAATATATTTTATAGAATGTCTAGCTTTATTCAACATATTCAAAAATAATTGTTAGCTGTTGTGCAAGTGATAATGACTGTTTTTAAATTTTACATTTTATCCTTTTTTAAATTTTTATTATTGTGTTAAAACTTTACATGTTAAGAGATCTTTGTACATCCAGTCATTTTGCTGTATGATTTTCAACTATGTAATTAACTTTAGGGTTTGTAGCAAATTGTTAACTTAGAAATACATTACAGTAAGTAATTAAATTATTACTTCAGACATGGTTAAGAGGGTCTGAATGAATTACTTACTGAAATATTGTGTCCTTTTGAGGTTAACATTTTCTCATGTACCCATTATTTGGTTTATTGGATTGAAGATAGCATATTGACCTGTTATTTTGTTATTTTTATCTTTTTATTATTTTTACTTTCTGATTATCCAGTATAAACCTGGTATAATATCAATATGTTGTTTTTTTTTAAATGAGCTATCCAGTTTTGTAGTATAGTTTTTTCTTAATGTACATGTATTTGACTTTTTAAATGAATTATTGAATCCATTTCACAAACAGTTACATGTGAATTAGAATGTTAGTCTTGTATGTTTTTTAATTTTAGTTCATTTATATGTTTTGGAGTTTAGTATGACGTCCATTTTCATGGAACTAGTACACAATTTTATTTAGGGGCCAGCTGAGGACCACCTCTGGGTGCGGGATTTTCTCGCTGCGTTGAAGACCCATTGGTGGCCTTCGGCTGTTGTCTGTTCTTTGGTCGGGTTGTTGTCTCTTTGACATATTCCCCATTTCCATTCTCAATTTTAAGAACAGATTGAAACTTAAGTTTTGTATGTTCATTTTGATCAGCATAACAACCTCTGCTCAGTTTTTTTAATGACACTCAAAAAGGACTTTCCTATATCTTAGGGTTCAAGAATTACAAATGACATAATTTTAGTCCATTTCCCCTGCCAAGTCGAGTTATACTGTGTCAGAGGAACACCTGCCCAAATTTGTTTGAATGTGATCTAAAAAAAAAGAGTATTCTGGCATTTCAGGTTTCTATGGAGATGCAAAGAACAACCTTCTTTTACCCTCTTGTCCCTGTGGGGTTTTACATTTTGGAGTTTAATTATTTCTTGTTTATATATTTCAATCCTGATTTTTATACTAAGCATATTTACCAGTGGTGGCATAACGCTTCCATTTGAACCCTAGGGGAAGTCACATTTTCATCTTTTACTCTGAAACTACTTTAACAATTTTAACAAAGTTCGTTCAGTAGTAATGGTGTATGCAAGGTCCTCCACAAACGATTCACATTTGGCTTTTGTCAGATGAAAGACATAACCACCAGATGCAAAGATTCAGTGGTCCTCTGGCCCTTAAAAGATTGGTCCTTTTTTTTTCTTTTTATCGAAAACGTTTATATGTAAGGACATTATTAAGTATAATCATACCTTTCCAGTATAATCATGGCAGCTTTTATATTATGTTGCAGTCTGGTGTATCCGCTCACCTAAGACTTTTGGCTGCACTTTGGTAATCTCATAAAACCAATAATCAGATAATATTGTGTGAACAAATTCATGACATATTTCATAAAATCGTCTTTATATATAGTTTGTTGCATCCTTAAGATTTTAGGTATTGTGTGTCCAAAATTAGGGAAACCCCTGTTTTGACAGTTCTTCAAATGTCCAGTGATTTTGCGCATGCCATCTGAAAATACCGGTAGCTAATTTTGAATACAGGAAAGATTTTATACTACGAAATATAGTTCAGTTTGAACCCAACAGTCTTCCAAGGATAGGAGCAAAATTTATTTCATTTTGATAAAAATTTGACTTAAAATGAAACCAATTTTATCTGATGATGTAATTTTTTTAATGGAAAATGGCTACATATGGTTTATCATGGGATTGCAATTATAAATATATGCTTGAACTTATCAAAGTTATTCTTTTATGTCCCTTCGGAAGACTAAAACAATTACAAGAACGATTTTATTTTTGTTACATGCGGATATGACAAAATCAGATAATGCGCGATATCACCGGCCAAGCAGACACAGGGGATTCCACTGTATACCCTTTATATCTATACTACTCAAATAACGAGGTCCAATTTGTTAGCTGGCATGACGTAAAAACGACGATTCAAAGAATTCAACTTTATATATAACTAATATAGGACAATGGTGTTGATTAAAAATTACACCATTCCATGCACTTTTGTTTTCCACATAATTGATATTACCAATAATTAACAAGTTCCAGGTCGAATCCGATACCGATACCAATAGTATATGTCATCTGTTCCCTGTTACCTAATCTGTACATTCCGCCTCTGTGAGGTGCACCACCAAAGGGTGTATTTGGTATTTGCTATATACACAGGTCATAATCACACCTGAACTTCATTATTATAAAGGTATTAACACTACTAAATTCAATCATTGTCACATGAAGTTTCCAGTTGTAGAAAGAAAATCAGGACGGGTTTAAACAGAAAGATTTTGAAAGCAGAGAAAACTGTGCACCTTACAAATCAGCATGACTTTATCAGATGACATTACGAATACTAAAAATCCAGGTTTAAAATAAGGTGTAGGTACTTTAATTCAGTCACAGACCTGTGACGTCGCAGGTTTGTTCTAGGACTAATTAAGTTTGTAACAATGTACAATTCAGAGATTTGGCTGTACCCACAATTTACTTTTCGTTTAATGGCTTTTCAGAACATACAGTTGTATAATTGATATAATAAGCAAAATATAAGACCAGATTTGAAAAATATTTGTTATTCACAATAACCTGATAACTTAATTATTCAACTTACCCCTAAATACCAAATAATTCAATAATATGTTATATCACAGATTAACAATTATCCTATGGTAATTCAAGCTATGGCAGACAAATGTTTAAATCTTATTTATTTTTTAAATTTAAGTTAAGTTAATATTCCAGCCACAACTTGATTTACTTTTTTTTCTTAATGATTTGTTTATTGATTTGTTGTTACCATAGTTACATGCATAATTCCATTTTATATCATTTTATATATTCTAATCTTTAAATATTTATATTGTGAACATGTTGTTAAGTTTATGTTGTAATCTCAAAATAAAGGCTTTTTGCAAACACAATTTTTGTTTATTGCATGATAAAATCTTGTGAGAAAAAGTATGTGAAATATGTACATACTGATTCTTTTATTTCATTTAGTGCAATTTCGGGGAAAATTAACTGTTTTCCTATGAATTTGTCATGAATAGAAAACATAAAACAGTTAATTTTTTCCCCAAATTGCACTTATTGTAAGGTTTGACTTCTTTCAGTTGCTTTTACTTGACAGAGTACCAGAATGTCTTACCACAGAGTAGGTAACCTGTCTTATTATATACTCTGGAGTCAAAAGTCAATAATATGAAAATAGTCTATTTGTGGAGACAACATAGACATTGAAAACTAAAATAGTACAAAATACAACACCAAAAACTAAGTAAAAACAACATGAAACTCATTAAAAATTTTCCTGATTAGAAATATGAAAATTATTTTAAATTATTTGTGAACTATATTTAGTTGATGTAGAATCATTTTTAATTGTTTGTGTGAATTTTACGGGGTTATCTGACCTTGACTACATTTACTGTTTATTGATTCAGAATAGGTTAAGGGATTTTGGTCATATTTACTCATAAATCTGAACCTAATATTTATGGGTTTTTTTATACGACCGCAAAAATTGAAAATTTTTTGGTCGTATATTGGTATGACGTTGGCGTCGTCGTCGTCGTCGTCCGGCGTCGTCCGAAGACACATTGGTTTTCGCACTCTAACTTTAGTTTAAGTGAATGGATCTCCATGAAATTTTACCATAAGGTTCAATACCATGAAA